AGAAACTAATCTAAGAAATTTTGGAAAACTGTATTTTGACAGGCTACTGTAAGACTAAAGACAAAAAGAAGTCTACACAAATACTGTAGTTGAGTTAGTAAATCTATTTCTCACAAAGATAAGAGTTAGTAAATCTATCTCTCACAAAGATAAGAGTTAGTAAATCTATTTCTCACAAAGATATGAGTTAGCAATTCTGTAACTACTTTAGGTGTATGCTAGGAATTGAACAAATAAGTGAGTATATATTGTACATAGTGAGAGCAAGAGGCAAATCTTAAGGTGCTGGATTGGAATTCAAGGAATCAATATGAGCTGAAGGTTTTAAACATACAGACAAGTAAGTTAATAAAGACACAGATACGGATGTGTGGATGTGGGTGCTGGTTTACAAACACATATGCCCAACTATGCTGATTGCAGAGGCCCAGATTCAGTGACACCTAAATTGCTACCTGCACACCAAGCATCCAGATTTTGATTTCTAAGCACCATTCCCCAACACAAAGAATGAGAAATCTTTTGAGAGGCAGTTGATTCCAGGGCAAGAGCAGGCAAAATGCAAAATGCAAAATGATTCAGGAACATTTTATGGTATGAGAAAATGAAAAAATGACTGAAAAGTGATAAGGATGTGTCCAAAGAAGACAGGAGCCAAATGGACACAGAAGCTGCTCCCAATGGTCAAAACTGGAATAATCTGAACAACAAAGTAAATAACAATAGTACCGACTTACAACGCATTGAATAAAATAAACATCCATGAACTTTTACAAATGTAAATAATTAAACAAATAAAGGAGGATAGCTCTTCCTTACAGATGAGCTCCAGTTAATAAATGTATTAATAGAAGCAAGAAAGATAATTCAAAATCATCATTAGGCAAACTCTACAGTCATAACGATTAGAAGCAAAGAGCTACTGACAAATGCTAAAATCAGTAAGAAAATGTTTAAGGAAAAACACAACATTAGCATAGTCTCAAAGTATTTCCCCACAAGATAATGTACCAGGGCTCCGCTTCACAGTACAGAAACCTGGCAGACACCACATCAGCCGAGCGACCGATGTTAACACGTTCGGTAATAGGACGTGCCGATGTCTGTACCACAATACGAGGCACTAGAAAGGGCGCATCACCTCTGCGATCTCATCAAAACTTCACAGCCTCAAAACTGCCGTGAGAAAACAGGAGACAAACCCAAACGGAGAAATCTCTGCAAGGTAACCGACTGACACTTTTCAAACGTGTCAAGATAGACTAAAAAATGTAGATGAAATTCAAGACATACGATAGCTAAATGAAATGTGGGATCCCAGATAGAATATTGGACTGAAAAAAAAGTCATTAGGAAAAAACTGAAGAAACTGAACGGTCTTTGTAATTTTAGTAATATTCTACTAATGTTAATTTTCTGGTTTCGATAATTTTATCATGGTTGTATAATTTTTAACTTTAGGGGAAGCTGGGTGATGGGTAAATGTGGACTCTCTATACTTTTTTACATTTAGGTAAGCCTAAAATTCTTTTAAAAGAAAATTTCCTTGTTTCCTTGTTTTTGGAAAAAAAAAAACATTTCAAGAGAAAGAAGGGAAAGATTACATATATCAAATACATCATTTTAAAAATGTTATCCATCTCACAAGGTCAGGAGATTGAGACCATCCTGGCTAACACGGTGAAACCCCGTGTCTACTAAAAATACAAAAACTAGCCGGGCGAGGTGGCAGGCACCTGTAGTCCCAGCTACTCAGGAGGCTGAGGCAGGAGAATGGCGTGAACCCGGGAGGTGGAGGTTCAGTGAGCCAAGATGGCGCCGCTCACTCCAGCCTGGGCAACAAAGTGAGATTCCGTCTCAAAAAAAAAAAAAAAGGAGAGGAGATAGCATTGAAAATACGGGCAAGTAAAAAGCCAAAAATGATACATAAATATAATATATAATATATCATATTGTCATAAAGAAAAATTGATTCTACTCAGGAGTTAAAAGGAAGAGATTGTCATTTTGGATGACAAACAAAATCCAACAGTATGCTTTTGTTTGTTTGTTTAGAGATGGGGTCTTACTACGTTGACCAAGCTGGTCTCAAACTCCTGACCTCAAGCGATCCTCCCATGTCAGCCTCCCGAGTGCTGGGATTACAGTGTGAGCCACTGCACCCACCCCCATATGCTATTTTTAAGACACACCTAAAATACAAAAACACAGACAATTTGAAAGTAAAAGATTGGGAACAGAGATGCTATGCATATATTAATGATGGAATTGATACGTAGCTCTAGATTAACATCAGTAAAAATACAATTTAACAGATTAAAAGCATTATTACAGATTTTTTAAAAGGTAACTTATCCAGTGATAAAATTTCCAATTCTCAGAAAAATAGAACAATTCTGCATTTGTACATAACTAATAACCTTTCTTCAAAATGTATCAAACAAAAATTGACTGAATTAATAAATTCTGCATCATAGTGAAAAAAATGTTAACCATCATTCTCAAATTATTATGATCCAAAAATGTCTTGCTTAGTCTCATTCATGATAAACTATTTCTCCATGTGTTTTGCAATTTTAGATTGTGAGCTCATATATGTTGGTTCTGTCTATAGGAATACTGAATAGAGATTTCCCTTATGCTGCTAAATCCTTGTTATAAGAAGAGACTGCTACAACCTGAAAGAAAGTGGGGCCAAAACTGCCATGAAAAATACTGTATTTAATGTGCCCCTCAGGTCAGATGAAGACATTTTCTAAAGATGAGCTGGTACCATTCTATGAGATGGCCCCATAGAATGAATTAGAGAAGAGTCCCTCCTCTTCTGATACCAAACCTAGCAGAGACATAACAACAACAAAAAAAAAAAAAAAAAGAAGAAAATTTCAGGCCAGTATCCCTGATGAGCATAGATGTAAAAAATCTTCAATAAAATACTACCAAACTGAATCCAGTAGCTCATCAAAAAGCTAATCCACTATGATTAGGCTCTATCTCTTAGATATCTCTTAGATGCAAGTTTGGTGCAACATATGCAAATCAATAAATGTGATTCACCACATAAACAGAATTAAAAACAAAACCCACATGATCATCACCATAGATGCAGAAAAGGCTTTTGATAAAATTCAACATCCCTACCTAGGCATCAAAGGAGTATACCTTAAAATAATAAGCGCTATCTATGACAAACCCACAGCCAACTTCATACTGAATGGGCAAAAGTTGGAACCATTCCCTTTGAGAACTGGAACAAGATAAGGATGCCCTTTCTCACCACACCTATTCAACATAGTACTGGAAGTCCTCGCCAGAGCAATCAGGCAAGAGTAAGAAATAAAAGACATCCAAATAGGAAGACAGGAAGTCATACTATCTTTTCACAGACAATATGGTTTTATACCTAGAAAACCCCATAGTCTCGGCCCAAAAGCTACTTTAGTTGATTGATAACTCCAGCAAAATTTCAGGATACAAAATCAATGGCTGAAAATCAGTACCAATTTTAAACACCAAAAACATTCAAGCTGAGAGACAAATCAAGAATGCAATCCCATTTACAACAGCTCTACAAAAAAATACAATGCCTAGAAATATAGCTAACCAGGGAGACGAAAGAGCTCTACAAGAATTACAAACCACTGCTGAAATAAATCACTGATGACACAAACAAATGGAAAAACCTTCCATGCTCATGGATAAGAAGAATCAATATTGTTAAAATGGCCATATGCCCAAAGCAATCTATAGATTCAAAGCTATTCATATCATACTACCAATGATATTCTTCACAGAATTAGAAAAAAAAACTGTTGCAAAATATATATGGAACCAAAAAAAGAGCCCAAATAGCCTAGGAAGTTTAAAGCAAAAAGAACAAAGCTGGAGGCATCACATCACCCAGCTTCAAACTATACTACATGACTACAGTTAACCAAAACAGCATGGTAGTGGTACAAAAACAGATACATGGACCAACGGAACAGAATAGAGGACCCAGAAATAAAGCCACACACCCACAACTATCAGATCTTTGACAAAATCAACAAAAACAAACAATGGGGAGAGGATTCCCCATTCAATAAATGGTGTTGAGATAACTGGCTAGCCATATGCAGAAGATTGAAACCAGACCCCTTCCTTTCATTACATACAAAAATCAACTCAAGATGGATTAAAGATTTTAATTTAAAACCTAAAACTATAAAAACCCTAGACGAAAACCTAGGAAGTACCATTTTGGACACAGACCCTGGCAAAGATTTCACCACAAAGACCCCAAAAGCAATTACAACAAAAACAAAAGTTGACAAATGGGGCCTCATTAAACTAAGGAGCTTCTGCATAACAAAAGAAACTGTCACCTCAGTGAACAGACAACCAATGGAATGGGAGAAAATGTTTGCAAAGTATGTATCTGACAAAGGTCTAATATTCAGCATCTATAAGAGACTTAAATAAATTTACAAGCAAAAAACAAACAACCCTGTTAAAGTATGGGCAAAAGACATGAATAGGCATTTCTCAAAAAAAGACATACACGTGGCCAACAAGCATATGAACAAATGCTCAACATGGCTATCATGTTGCAATTCAAAACCGAAATGAGATACCACCTCATGCCAGTCAGAATGGTTATTATTAAAAAGTGAAAACATAATAGATGTTGGTGAGGTTGCAGAGAAAAGAGAACATTTAGACACTGCTGATTAGAGTATAAGTCAGTTCAGCCAATGCGGAAAGCAGTTTGGAGGTCCTCAAAGAATACCATTCAACCCACCAATCTCGTTACTGTATATGTACCCAAAGGAATATAGATCATCTATCACAAAGACACATGCATGCATATGTTCATCGCAGCACTATTCACAATAGCAAAAACATGGAACCAACTTATATGCCCGTCAACAGTGGACTGCATAAAGAAAATGTGATATATATCACGGAATACTATGCAGCCATAAAAAAGAATGAAATCATGTCCTTTGCAGCAACACGGATGCAGCTGGAAACCACTGTCCTTAGCAAACTAACACAGGAACAGATAACCAAATACTGCATATGTAACCAAATACTCCAAATACATTGAGTACACATGGACACAAAGAAGGGAACCATAGACACTGGAGTTTACTTGAGGGTGGAAGGTGGGAAGAGGGTAAAGATCGAAAAACTACATATCAGGTCCTATGCTAATTACCTGAGTGATGAAATAATCTGTAAGCCAAGCCCCCATGGCGTGCAGTTTGCCCATGTAACAAAGACGCACATGTGCCCTCGAACCCAAAATGCAAATTGGAAAGAAAAAAAGACATTTCCTGCCTAACAGTTTCATTCTAAATTTTCTTCTTCTAAGGGTAAACATTTTTATATTGATGTTATGCACTCCCTATGTCCAAGAATCATCTAGAAATTTTTAAACATGAATTTAAAGGCCACTTAACATTTCAAATCCCTATAAAACAAAAGGACAAGTAAAATAACATTCCTTAACAGAGGTTATTTATTAACTAACTTTGAAGCCCTTCTAAATCTATGGAACCATGTTCCATTATCCAAATTTAGAAATACTCAAAATTGATCTTGAATTTCAGGAGACAAGGTGTCTACAGTTTTCATTGTACCAACTACTCTATGGTTTGACCAAATTTTCTAGAAGACAATCTGACCTCAGTAACAAAAACAAGTCAGTGCAAAATAGATTAATAGACCCAAACGTCTCCAACTGTTTTCCAAAAAATAGAACACATCTGACCTATTGTATGTGCTTCAGAGTGGGGCCTGTTTCAGAGCCACTGCAATATGACAGAAGAAGGATTCGACCCAAAATTTATGCTGGAGAACTCAGGTCCAAAAATGGCAAGAAAAGGGCCAGGAAGCCCTCAAAATCTGGAAGAGGTCTTAGGTAGGTTTTAGATAGCAGATGAAAACAAGAGATGAAAGCCCAGGGTGTGAAGATGAAGGCAGGCCACTCTGTAGGGAATGGCTGCTTGGGGTCAGGGAGCTGGGTGTGTGAGATCTGTGGGGCCCCAGTAGCTTGCCTAGGACCTCTGTATACAAACCTCACTCTCTTCTGGGCTAACAGTGAATAGTTTGAACAAGAAAAGGTTGAATTAAGCTTTTGAATCAAATTATTACTAAAAAAATTAATAATAATAGGCTACAACATTTTTTGAACGCCAACTAGGAGCTCTACATGGAGCTCAGTACTTCAATATGATCTTGGTTCTCACAAGCAGCATGATTAATATTAATAGACTATTCTAAAGATAAGAAAATTGAGGCTCAGAAGTATTGAGTAATTTGTCTGAAATTTTAGAACTAGGAAGTGGCAAAACTGAGCTCTGAACATGGGTCCATCTGATGTGAAAGCCTGTGCGCATAAACATTATGTGAACTACAACCTGTTGGCCTGAGTTGGAAGAGTCCTTCCTGGACTGGTGCACAGTTCTCCTCTGAGCATGCCCACTGCAGTGTCTCACGGTCCTGTGGTATTCACGGCACATGAGAAAGCTTCCAACCCATCCATCTCCCCATTATGCCAGAGGCTGGATCCACATGCAGTGAGGTCTGGTCAAGCTTGATGATGATGGTCAGACTGCTCATAGAGAGGAGAAGCAAGGTGAGGACCTGTTACATACGGATGAGTGGGAGCAAAATGAACAGGAACATCTGAGGATAAAATAACAGAGTTGAAAGCATCCAGGTCTTAAAATGGCTCGTAATAGGGCGTTTCCTACTTCAAAAAGGACGGTCAGAGTATCTTATTGCCCCTGTGATTGTCCCTTTTAGGTCAAAAAGTCTAACACTTTTCAGAAGCAGTGTTAGGCTGCCCCTCGGGGAAGCCTGGGGAAGGCAAGCATCTGAACTGGCTTCCTTAAGGTTACACCACATGAAGATTCCATTGTTCCTCAACTCCCCACAGTTTAGACTACTCAAGTTGGAGAATCATTGAACATCTTCGAAAACCACAATTCATAAAATGTTATAAGACAAGCAAAGTTAATGCAATAATAGTAAGCTCAGCTCCCTCTTGATTTTTTTTTTTTTTTTTAGACAGAGTCTCACTCTGTCACCTAGGCTGGAGTGCAGTGGCACGATCTCGACTCGCTGAAACCTCCACCTCCCAGGTTCAAGCGATTCTCCTGCCTCAGTCTCCCAAAGTGCTGGGATTACAGGTGTGAGCCACCACGCCTGGCTAATTTTTATATTTTTAGTAGAGACAGGGTTTCACCATATTGGCCAGGCTGGTCTCTAACTCCTGGCCTTATGATCCACCTGCCTCAGCCTCCCAAAGTGCTGGGATTACAGGTGTGAGCCACCACGCCTGGCTAATTTTTATATTTTTAGTAGAGACAGGGTTTCACCATATTGGCCAGGCTGGTCTCTAACTCCTGGCCTTATGATCCACCTGCCTCAGCCTCCCAAAGTGCTGGGATTACAGGTGTGAGCCACCGTGCCCAGCCCCTCTTGATTTTCAAGAAGATATAAGTAACTACAACAGATTAACATATTCTGCTGAGGACCCAAATAAAAACATGGAGGTTGGAAACTAAGGCAAGAATGCATTCCATAGTTGTAGTCAGAAATCTTTCCTGTTGGTTTCTGTACAAAAATTGCCTCTTTCAATTAATGCCCACAACAATATTTGTTTCGGAATTTTCTTTAATTGTTAGAAAGCAGCAACTTTGTTGGGTTGGTTTTGTTGACATTAGTTTCAGTCACAAATGAAAATTATTTGTTTTGTTCTCATTGAAAACATATTATATCCCATAGTTTCCAGAACTTTTTTAAAATCAACAGAAAGAAATTTTACAAAATTGTATTCTGACTTACCAATATGAATAAAACCAATGCTACATGTAGCTGCACTATTGGATACAGGTCCTAAAGGAAGCAGCTGGATAAATTGTCCCCGCTAGTGCTCACATGCTGAAACTGCCTGATACTTATCATTAGGATACTGCAGTATAACAATGAATAGAAGGAGAAGTGAGACAAAATAGCCTTTCCCAGTGTCAAGGTAACTGAATCAATATGCTCAGTTTGGTTCCCCTAATTGCCTAGGCTGGTATGGAGAAAAGAAAAAAATATTAAGAGGCAATTAGGGAGAGTGAAATAAACTATGAAGAAGATACACAGAAAAAGATTAAAGAAATCAAACATGATGTATAAATAAAATAGCCAAGAAGAAAAACATCATATAGTTCTCCTCAAAGAATCATGATTACTCTCATACACACAATTACATGAGGAGGTGCTAGGTATTGGGTAGTAAAGACACACAAGAATAGTCCCAATTGATTCCATAAGCTCCTGGGATATATGCTGAGGACTTCAGCAACTTGGGAGCGCTTTAGGTGGTGCACGTATCATCTGGCCACACTCCTTCATGTTTCCCAAAGGGAATCCCAAAGGATTGGAAGATTTACGTCCACACAGAAAGTTGCACATAGATGTTCGTAGCAGCTTTATTTAAAATTGCCAAAACTTGGAAGCAACCAATATGTCCTTAAATCATGGTGGGTGAATAAATAAAGTGTGGTACATCCAGACAATGGAATGTTATTCAGAGCTAAAAAGAAATGAGCTGTTAAGCCATGAAAAGACAAGAAGAAAGTTAAACGCGTATTACTCTAAATGAAAGAGGCCAATGTGAAAAGACCACATACTGGACTATTCCAACTATAAGACATTCTGGAAAATTCAAAACTATGGAGACAGGAAGAAGAACAATGATTTCCAGGGGCTGGGGGAGAAGAAGGGACGAACAAGTGGAGCGTAGAGGAATTTTAGGGCAGAGGAACTACTCTGTACAACACCACAATGATGGATACACATCATTACACCTTTGTCCAAACCCACAGGATGTATGACACCGAGAACCAAGAATGAGCACTAATACAAACTATGGACTCTGGATGACTATAATGCATCTATTTAGATTCATAAATCATAACACCTGTACCACTGTGATGGAGGAAGTTAATAATGGGGGAAGCTATGCATGTGTAGGGGTTGGAGTATATGGCAAACCTCTTTACCTTCCTCTCAATTTTGCTGTGAACCTAAAACTATTCTTAAAAACTTAAGACTTAAATAGAGCAATCAGCTGGGAATTAGTGAAGCCTAAAGGTTGTATGTGATATCAGCAAAGACAGATGCCTTAACAGAGAGACCAGGGAAAGAGACAGTTAAAGATAAGGAAAAAAACAAATAGAAAAATGTCAGATATAAATACTACCTTCTTATCATTTACATAAACTGTAAATGGAATAAACATACCAATTAAAGGGCAGATATGGGCTAAGTGGATTTTTTAAATGTGAGTCGACTGTATGCTGTCTACAAGAGCTTACTACTGCCACATTAGATTGAAAGACCCAGATAGGCTGAAAGAAAAAAGATGGACAAAGACCACACAAACGGTAACAACAACAACAAAAGAGCTGGAGTAACTATGCTAACATCAGACAAAACTGACCTTAAGACAAAAATTGTTTTTAGGGTCAAAGAAGGACATTTTATAATTATTTCATATAAATGAAATCAATAACAAATTCAGGGAGCTAAATCAGCATCTATAGTTGCTAAAATACATTATCTAAACTTTCTAATTTTTTTACAAAAATTACAAGATATGCAAAAAATAAAGGAAAGTGTGACCCCTGCTCTGGGGTAAAAACTGCCAATTGTCACTATCTGTGAGAGGAGCCTGGATGCTGAAGTTAGGGAAGACTTCAGAGCAGAATTTTAAATATGTTCAGAGAATTAAAGAATCATGCTTTTAAAAATGAAACATGATGACAATGATGCATTAAGTACAGAATATCATAGGAGATAAAAATTATTTTTAAGACAACAGAATGGAAATTCTGGAATTGAATAATACAAGTGAAATGAAAAATTTATTAGAGGGACTTGATAGAATATGTGAGATGACATAAAAATTATACATCAAAAATTAAAATAGATCAATAGAAATTATTCAATCTGAAGAACATAGAAGAAAAAAGAAAGAAGAAAAATGAATAAAGTATCAAAACCTATGGGACACAATCAAGCAAACCAACATGTCTGTAATAGGAATCCCAGAAAAGAAAGATAAAAATAATTTTTTTAAAAAAGAGAGAATAACATATGTGAAAAATAGTAACCAAAAACTATCCAAATACCCAAAATTAATTTCAAAATTAATCTAAAGATCTTAAAAGCTAAAAATTTCAAAAAACACACATAAATAGGATAAACACAAAAAGATCCACACCTAGATGCATCATAGTCACACCTACTGAAAGACAAAGTAAAGCCTCAAAAGCTGCAGCAGAAAAATGACTCAATGTGCACAAGAGGAAAGCAATGATTAACAGCTAATTTCTCATAAGAAGCAATGGAGACCCAAAGTCAGAATGATAGATTTGGACTGGTGAAAGAAAAAAAAAAACTATCAAGTATTCTTATATAAGTGAAAAAAAACTATACTTTAAAAAGACAAAATAAAGGCATTCACATATAAACAAAGAGAGAATTTGTTTCCAACAGATTTGCTTTACAAGACATACTAAAGGAAATTCTTCAGGCTGGCATCGTGTGGCAACTTGAATCCATACAAAGAAGTAAAGAATTGTAGGAAAGATACATACACACACACACAGACACACACACACAACCTGACCCTCAAACAATGTGGGTTTTAGGGGCACCAGCCCCCTACAAAGTTGAAAATCTGTGTATAAATTTTGACTCCCCCAAATCTTAACTACTAATAGCCTACTATTGACTGGGAGTCTTGCCAATAACATAAACAGTCAATTAACACATATTTCATTTTCTTTTGTTTTGTTTTGAGACACAGTCTTGCTCTGTCATCCAGGCTGGTGTGCAGTGGCACAATCACAACTCGCTGCAGTCTCACCCTCCCAGGTTCAAGTGCTCCTCCCACACCAGCCTCCCGAGTAGCTGGGACTACAGGCATGCACCACCGTGCCAGCTAATTTTTTAATATTTTTATAGAGACAAAGTCTCACTGTGTTACCCAGGCTGGTCTCAAACTCCTGGAACACGTATTTTCTATGTTATACATCTTACCCACTGTATTCTTACAATAAAGTAAGCTACAGAAAAGAAAATGTTATTAAGACAATCATAAGAAAGAAAAAATACATTTACAGTACTGTATTTATCGATACCATAAGTTTACATCATCTGTTTACAAGGTGAATCATCTGTCAGAAATAGTAGGCAAGTGCAGCTACAGACCACAATCTATGGGACATATCAAGCAATCCAACTTTCTCCTGTAATGTTACGACTTTTCTCTGCTTCTCCAGCATCACTAGTGGCACTTGCTATGGGTCCCATGTGTCATTCCAGGTTTACAGCATTGCACTAAACACAAGAAACACATGGGAATTGGGAGATCACGTTTTACTGCAATAGGCAATTTACTGAAGGGATGAACCACTCAGGAGGAGATGATCAGCATCACGTGGCATCTTAAGTAGATCCTCACTCACTCCAAGAGCAACAGGAGGTGGCTGTGAAATTATTACAGTAGCACAGTATGCACCATAGTTAACTTTACACGGTTATGATTGAATGCTGCATCTTTACATGTGTTTACATTTCCCTTGGCTGTGAATGGTACCATGTACTATCTGTGTGTGTGTAAGCTTTGATCAATTTCGATGTTGTATAATAGAACTGTGTATATTTTATAGGAGTAAATAAGATAGACTAGTATCTACAAAAATTTTATGCATTCCTGACTTGCCTTTTGTGGTTTTTTGTTTGGGGGGTGTGTGTGTGTGTGTGTTTCTGTGTCTCTCCCATGTGCTTATTTTGACCCCTGGCCACTCACAACCCACCACCATTTTTTTTAATAACTGGTTCAAAGGACAACTTTTTTTAACTTCTAAGTTCAGGGGTACATGTGCAGGTTTGTTATGTAGGTAGACTCATGTCACAGGAGTGTGTTGTACAGATTATTTTGTCACCCAGGTATTGCACCCATTACTTATTTTTCCCGAACCTCTCCCTCCTCCCACCTTTCATCCTCCAATAGGCCCCAGTGTCTGTTGTTCCCCTCTTTGGGTCCATGTGCTCTCATTATTCAGCTCCCACTTATAAGTGAAAACGTGGTATTTGGTTTTCTATTCCTGTGTTAGTTTGCTAAAGATAATGGCCTCTGGCTCCATCCAGGTTTCTCCAAAAGATATTATTTCATTCTTTTTAATGGCTGCAGGGTGTTCCATGGTGTATATGCACCACTTTTCTTTATCCAGTCTACCACTGATGGACATTTAGATCGATTCCATGCCTTTGCTATGGTGAATAATGCTGCAATTAACATACATGTGCATATGTCTTTACAGCACAATAATTTATATCCCTTTTGGTATATACCCAGTAATGGAATTTCCTGAGTCAAATGGCAATTCAGTTTTTAGCTCTTTAAGGAATCACCACACTGCTTTCCACAATGGTTGAACTAATTTACACTCCCGCCAGCAGTGTATAAGTGATCCCTTTTCTCTGCAACTTCATTAGCATGTGTTATTTGTTGAATCTTTAATACCAGCTACATGACTGGTGTGAGATGGTATAGCATTGTAGTTGTGATTTACATTTCTCTAATGGTGACATGAGCTTTTATCATATGCTTATTGGCTGCATGTATATCTTCTTTTGAAAGTGTCTGTTCATGTCCTTTGCTCACTTTTTAATGCAGCTGTTGGTTTTTTTTTTTTTCTTGTAAATTTGTGTAAGTTCCTTATAGACACTGGTTCCTATTAGACCTTTGTCAGAGATGCATAGTTTGCAAAAATTTTTTCCCATTCTGTACGTTGTCTGTTTACTCTCTTGATAGCTCCTTTTGCTGTGCAGAAGCTCTTTAGTTTAATAGATCCCATTTGTCAATTTTTGCTTTTGTTGCAATTGCTTTTGGCACCTTCGTCATGAAATCTTTGCCCGTGCCTATGTACAGAATGGTATTGCCTAGATTGTCTTCCAGGGTGTTTAGGTTTAAGTCTTTAATCCATCTTGAGTTGATTGTTGTATACACGGTGTAAGGAAGAGGTCTGATTTCAATTTACTGCATGTGGGTAGCCAGTTCTCCTAGCACCGTTTATTGAGTAGAGAGTGCCTTCCCCACTGCTTGTTTTGGTCAGCTTCGTCAAAGATCAGATGGTCACAGGTGTACGGCCTTATTTCTGGGCTCTCTGTTCTGTTCCATTGGTCTATGTGACATACCTAACTTTGACTTAATTTTTTTCAATATTTCTAAGCTATGCAGTTCATCTGTTTTTTCAAATTGTCACAAATCTCCAAAAAAAATTCCCAGACATTTATTGAAAAAGATCTCCATATTAAGTGGACCCAATGCAGTTCAAATCCATGTTGTTCAAGGGTCAACTTTATGTCTTTTTTATCATTTTCCTTTTTTCTCTTTAACATAAAATACATTGCATAAAATAATTGAAATGATAAAACTATAATATATGTTAGGCATATGAAGTAGAAGTATAACATATGTGACCATCAAAGCACAAACAAGGGAGGACAAATGGAGCTATACTGGAACACAATGTCTGTATTTTCCACGAAATAAATTAGCATTAATCCAGTACAGATCGTATTAAACTAAGATGTACAGTTTAACCCTTGGAACAATCAATAATAAAATAACTCAAAAACACAGTTTTAAAAAAAGAAAGAAGAAAATTAAAACGTATACAAGAAAATATAATTTAACACAGTAAGAAAGCAGTAAAAGATAAAGAGAGGAAAAAAGATACGCGATACAGTGGAAATAGCAAAGTAGCAGACACAAAGCCAAGCATATGAATAACTGTATTAAATGTGAGTGGATTGAACATTTCAGTTAAAATGTAGAAATTGTCAGGCTAGATTTTATCATTTTTAAAATGATAACTCATGCAAACAGTAAATAAAAGTGGGCCGAAGTGCCAGTATCAGGCAAACAGACCCTAAGACAAAAATATTACCAGAGAAAAAGAGACATTTAGTAATGATAAAGTTCTATTCATTTGGATGATGTAATAATTATAGAAGTATATACACTTAATAACCGATCCTCAAGATACATGAAGCAAAAGCTGACACACTTGAAAGGAAAAATACCCAATCGAACAAAATCGTTGAAGACTGCAATACTCTTCCCTCAATCACTGAAAGAAGAGTTTCACAGAATATCAGAGGTAATGTGCAAGAGAAAAACAGAACTGTTAACAAGCAGGACAAATCTGACACTCATAGAATGCTCCACAGAACAGCAGCAGAATACACATCACAAGTAGAATATTCTCCAAGACAGATCAAATGCTAGACCTTAAAACAAGTCTTAAAAAAAATTAAAAGGACTGCAATTGTGCAACATATGTCCTGTGACCACAACTGAATTAAATAAGTCAAAAACATAAAGAAACACGGGCAATCCACCAATATTTGGAACCTTCAAAACATACTTTGAAATAACCATAAGTCAAAAAAAGAAATTATATGGAAAATTAGAGTATATTTCTAGCTTAATGAAAACGAAAGCACGTTACATGTTAAACTGAAGAAATGCAGAGAAGTGGTGCTGGGGGAACAGTTTGAGGAGTACTATCTTTCTGTGTTAGTAAATCTTTCTGTTTGAGGAGGACACGAGTTTGTAAATGAAGTCTCAAGATTTAAAAGTATTGTGAGTAATTTTGTAACAACAATTGTAACGGAAACCATACATATTACTGATGTAGTCTTTTCCGTGATAACAGAAATTGTACTCAAATATTACACAAAATGAAACAGATCCAGGTCACACTACCTTGTAAATTTGCTGTTATAAGTAATTTAGCTCCAGACTCAACTTACAGCAAATTATATTTTATAGAAAATGAAATTAGAATGAGTTTATAAATCACAAAGATAATTCATTAAAAAAAAAATAAGAAGTGCTATCAGAAATCTCTTAGTGGCTAAGGTAAAGCTGGTTAACTTAAAATAGTCCAATTACAACCTCTACTGTTTTCCACTTAGAGAATATGAGGAAAGATTTATAGATGTAGCCTTTCTTCATTCACCAAACAAAATATGAAATACAGAATCAGGTAAAATGCAATATGGCAAAAGTTCTAAAATCTTACCTCCATCAGAACAAAGAGTGCTGCAAAAAACAGAAGCGTTGCCCATTCCACTCTGTGTAGAATTATCTCAAAATCATGAATATCAGCTAAAATTAGCAACCAGATGGCACCCAGAATAGCAATCCATCCTGCAAATAAGTAAATAGACAAGGAGATATAGTTCCACTGTTAACACACCAGTTCTTTTTTTTAAACTTCTGGTTGCCTTTTTATCAAGAATAATTGTCATACTACAAACTGCATATATTTAAAATGCATATAATTTCTATTTGAATATATGTATACTCATGAAACCAACACTGTAATCAAGATAATGAACACGGCCATTGACCCTAGGAGTTTATTCATGCCTATGCTCTTGTACCTCCTCTAGCTCCTCTTGTCAACCCCCACACTCCCAGTAAGCCATTCTTCTCTTTTCTTTCACTATAGATTGGTTTACATTTTCTATAAATGCAGGTTTTCTGTAAATCACACCATTGTTTTTTGTTGTTGTTGTTTTGGGGGTTTTCTTGAGACATAGTTTTGCTCTGTCGCCCAGGTTGGGCTGCAGTTCGACTCACTGCAACCTCCACCTCCCGGGCCCAAGCTGGGGAGCCTCAGCCTTCCAAGTAGCTGGGATTACAGGTGCATGCCATCACACCAGTTAATTTTTTGCATTTTTAGTAGAGACAAGGTTTCGCTATGTTGGCCAGGCTGGTATCAAACTCCTGGCCTCAAGTAATGCGCCTACCTCCACCTCCCAAAGTGCTTGGATTACAGGCACACGCCACCACGCCCAGCCAGTTGTAATTTTTTGTCTATTTCTCAATAGACAGATCATCCAGACAAAAACAATCAATATTCAGCATAATCATGTTAAGATCCTTCACTGTTGGCCAGGCGCGGTGGCTCACGCCTGTAATCCCATCACTTTGGCAGGCCCACGTGGGCAGATCACCTGAGACTGGGAGTTTGAGACCATCCTGACCAACATGGAGAAACCCTGTCTCTACTAAAAACACAAAATTAGCCAGATGTGATGGCGCATGCCTGTAATCCCAGCTGCTTGAGAGGCTGAGGCAAGAGAATTGCTTGAACATGGGAGGCAGAGGTTGCGGTGAGCTGAGATCTCGCCATTGCACTCCAGCCTGGGCAACAAGAGCGAAACTCCGTCTCAAAAAAAAAAAAAAAAGATCCTTCACTGTTGGTGTGTGAGTCAGTAGTTCATCCTTTTTTAATGTGCAGTAGTATGCTAGTGTGTGGATATATTACCATGTACATACCATTCACCTATTGATGGACACATGGATTGTTTCCAGTGTCGGCTATTTCAAATAAACATGCTGTGAACATTCATATACAAGTCTTTGTATGTACATATGCTTTCAGTTCCCTTGGTTAATACCTAGGGAATGAGATGGTTGGATATAGGATAGGTTAATACTATGCAATGTTATATGAAACATTTATGCTTCAGGAAACTGCAAAACTATTTTCCAAAATAATTTCATCATTTTACAATCCCACCAGCAGTGTATGAGAATTCCAGTTCTTACATCTTCACCAAAACTTGATCAGCCTTTCTGATTTTAGACGTTATAATGGATGTGTAGTGGGATCTTACTGTGGTTTCCAATTGCATTTCTCTCATGATTAATGACATTGAGCATCCTTTTTCTTCTATTTTTGTTTTTATTTTTTTGAGACAGAATCTCACTCTGTGGCCCAGGCTGGAGCACAGTGCTGCAATCTTGGCTCACTGCAACCTCCGTCTACCAGGTTCAAGCGATGCTCCTGCCTCGGCCTCCCAAGTAGCTGGGATTACAAGTGTGCACCACCCTGCCCAGCTAATTTTTGTATTTTCAGTAGAGATGGGGTTTTACCATGTTGGCCACGCTGGTCATGAACTCCTGCCCTCGAGTGATCCACCCACCTTGGCCTCCCAAAGTACTGGAATTATAGGCATAAGCTACCATGCCTAGCTGACATTCAGCATCTTTTACTTATTTGCCATCCATATATCTTCTTTCATAAAGTTTTTGTTTAAATGCTCTGGTTATTTTTTTCCTTACTCGTTAGAGCAAATGAAACCCAACATAAGTAGAAGAAAAGAAACAATAAAGACTGGAGCAGAAATCAACGAAATAGAAAATGGAAAAAAATGTTAGAGAAAAGCAAAGATACCAAAACCTGGTTCTTTCAAAAGCTCAGTAAGATCAGTCAACATTTAGCCTATCTGAATAGAACAAGTGAGAAAACAAAATTGCCAATATCAAGAATAAGATCGGTGGCATGACTATAGATTCTATAGATATAAAAATGTGGACTTGTTTTCAATAGCTGCCATAACAAATGATCATAAACATAGTGGCTTGACATTCCCTTTGAAAACTGGCACAAGACAGGGATGCCCTCTCTCACCACTCCTATTCAACATAGTGTTGGAAGTTCTGGCCAGGGCAATCATGCAGGAGAAAGAAATAAAGGGTATTCGATTAGGAAAAGAAGAAGTCAAATTGTCCCTATTTGCAGATGACATGATTGTATATTTAGAAAACCCCATCGTCTCAGCCCAAAATCTGATAAGCAACTTCCCCAAAGTCTCAGGATACAAAATCAATGTGCAAAAATCACAAGCATTCTTATACACCAATAACAGACAAACAGAGAGCCAAATCATGAGTGAACTCCCATTCACAATTGCTTCAAAGAAAATAAAATACCTAGGAGTCCAACTTACAAGGGATGTGAAGGACCTCTTCAAGGAGAATTACAAACCATTGCTCAACAAAATAAAAGAGGACACAAACAAATGGAAGGACATTCTATGCTCATGGATAGGAAGAATCAATATCGTGAAAATTGCCATACTGCCCAAGGTAATTTATAGATTCAATGCCATCCCCATCAAGCTACCAATGACTTTCTTCACAGAATTGGAAAAAACTACTTTAAAGTTTATATGGAACCAAAAAAGAACCTGCATTGTCAAGACAATCCTAAGCCAAAAGAACAAAGCTGGAGGCATCACGCTACCTGACTTCAAACTATACCACAAGGCTACAGTAACCAAAACAGCATGGTACTGGTACCAAAACAGAGATATAGACCAATGGAACAGAACAGAGCCCTCAGAAATAATCCCACACATCTACAGCCATCTGATCTTTGACAAACCTGACTTTGATGAATTGGGGAAAGGATTCCCTATTTAATAAATGGTGCTGGGAAAACCGGCTAGCCATATGTAGAAAGCTGAAACTGGATCCCTTCCTTATACCTTTTACAAGAATTAATTCAAGATGGATTAAAGACTTAAATGCCAGACCTAAAACTATAAAAACCCTAGAAGAAAACCTAGGCAATACCATTCAGGACACAGGCATGAGCAAGGACTTCATGTGTAAAACACCAAAAGCAACAGCAACAAAAGCCAAAATTGACAAATGGGATCTAATTAAACTAAAGAGCTTCTGCATAGCAAAAGGAACTACCTTCAGAGTGAACAGGCAACCTACAGAATGGGAGAAAATTTTTGCAATCTACCCATCTGACAAAGGGCTAATATCTAGAATCTACAAAGAACTTAAACAAATTTACAAGAAAAAAATCAAACAACCCCATCAAAAAGTGGGCAAAGGATATGAACAGACATTGCTCAAAAGAAGACACGTATGCAGCCAACAGACACATGAAAAAATGCTCATCATCACTGGTCATCAGAGAAATGCAAATCCAAACCACAATGAAATACCATTTCACACCAGTTAGAGTGGCGATCATTAAAAAGTCAGGAAACAACAGATGCTGGAGAGGATGTGGAGAAATAAGAATGCTTTTACAATGTTGGTGGGAGTGTAAACTAGTTCAACCACTGTGGAAGACAGTGTGGCGACTCCTCAAGGATCTAGAACTAGAAATACCATTTGACCCAGCCATCCCATTACTGGGTAGATACCCAAAGGATTATAAACCATGCTTCTATAAAGACACATGCACACGTATGTTTATTACAGCACTGTTCACAATAGCAAAGACTTGGAACCAACCCAAATGCCCATCAATGATAGACTGGATTAAGAAAATGTGGCACATATACCCCATGGAATACTACGCAGCCATAAAAATGGATGAGTTCATGTCCTTTGCAGGGACATGGATGAAGCTGGAAACCATCATTCTGAGCAAACTATCACCAAGAACAGAAAACCAAACACCGCATGTTCTCACTCACAGGTGGGAACTGAACAATAAGATCACTTGGACACAGGGTGGGGAACACCACACACCCGGGGTTGGGGAGAGGGGAGGGATAGCATTAGGAGATATAACTAATGTAAATGACGAGTTGATGGGTGCAGCACACCAACATGGCACATGTATACATATGTAACAAACCTGCACGTTGTGTACATGTACCCTAAAACTTAAAGTACAATAAAAAATAAATAGACATAGTGGCTTGAAATAACACCTATTTATTATATCGTGGTTTTCATAGGTCAGAGGATGCTGGTTTACAGCCGAATGTCTGCTTAGAGTCTCATGAAGTCACAGCCACAGTGTTGGCAGGGCTGCGTTCCCGTCTGGAGGCTCTAGGGGAGGATGTGTGTCTCTGCTCATTCAGGTGTTGACATAATCCAGTTCCCTGCAGCTGTAAGACTAAGGCCCCTGTTTCCTTACTGGCTGTCACCCAAAAGCTGTGCTGAGCTTCCAGAGGCACCCACATTCCTAGCCTCATGCCTCCATTCCTCCATCTTCCAAGTCAGCAAAGTCCCTCTCACACTTCAAATCTCCCCTGCCTCTTCGCCTGTCACAGTTCTCTAACTGGCTCTTCTGTCTTCCACTTTATTTTTAAGGGCCCTTGTGATTACATTGGATCTACCTGGATAATCCAGAAAAATCTCCCTTTATGAAAGTTTATAACCTAAATCCACCTGCAAAGTTCCTTGGCTATGTAATATAACACATATGGCCATTAACATCAGGAACTAGAGGGTGCACTCCTTTGAGGCAGAGAGGTATGCACGAATTAATTTGGGAAAAATTAACATTTTAACAATATAGGAGCTTCTGATCTATAAACATAGTATATAGCTCCAATTATTTATGTGTTCTTTCATTTTTCCTAAGAATGTTTTGTATA